TTAAATAAGATGAGATAGGCATGCAGATGTAAAAATGCATCTTTTGTAAAAAAAAAACCCTCCATGACAGCACTTCTCAGCAGTTTGAAGGGACTGTCAAAGCCTCCCTAGTGAAGATTAACTGACGCATTCGATTTGTTGAAAAATGTGCAAAAATAGATTTTTGTGTGCTTGACAGTTTTTTACCGTGTTCTTTGTTTGACTCACGTAGCACGCAAAGCTCTGTAGACACCAGAAACGACACTTTCTCAGGTCTGCAGTGTATGTCAGGGAACTGTCAAAGCGTTAGAGAGTATGCGAACCAGCGCTAAATGAGATGCTATTCGGGAGGAAGCCCAAAAGTTCTGGGAGCTGCAGGATGTCCCTGTTACGACAGTGCAGAGGAAGAGTATGCTCACAAATGACCCCGGAAAAAACCAGCCTTCCTTGACTGTTCAGATATTACAAGCACACTCAGACAACGAGAATATCAGCCAGCTAAAAATGAGAGCGCTAAGGTCAGGGAAACCCCTGTCCGACCGCAGTCTTCCCTTGCAATTGCTCATAATAAAACTGTCTCTGGCTTGTTGCTAACAAACATAGAGTGAAGACTTGATTTCTTCCACAGTAGATACAACGAGAGAGCTGCGATCTGTGACACCTCACCCCAACCGAGACAGTTGTTCTTTTTTTAAAGACTGTACAAAGGCAAGATACTTGTATGTCTCATTCACGATCTCATTACCAGTGTTTGACCCAGATAAGGATGTTTACAGGCAATTGGTGGCTGTCCATTCAACAGATCACCTCGAGGACAATATCTACAGAGAATGTGTCAATCTGCCTCCCTTGGTCATCTATCAAAGCCCAACTCAAACTTGGAAAGTTTGGCAGATAACCTGCTGCTCTGTAAAAGGGCCTCAGGACAGCTGTGGATGTAATGTGTTTGAGGCAGACACTGTTCTGTGTGGACTACAGGGAGAGGAGTTATGAAATAAATCATCATCATCATTCCTGGTGAGGCTGAC